GGCAATGAGGCTAGACCAGGAGGCAAAGTAGCATGTATGCTCTCGCGTATAAGAATTATTTTATTTTATTTTATTTTATTTTTTGACAATAAATGATAGTGGAGGGTGTCAATTAGATACATTGCTTCAGTAACTAATACATTGATTTGGAGTGAATTTGCACAAACAAACGATTAATTAAAAACCTCTACACGACTACCACAAGCAAGGTGTGTGACATCCCACATCGTCCAGGGGAGTGATCCTTATATGTATATTCCCATCCCTACCTAACACGAGGCCTTTTGGGAGCTCACTGGCTTCGGGTTCCGTAGGAACTCCGAAGTTAAGCGAGAAAGGGGCTAAAGCAATCCCATGATGGGTGACCCACTGGAAAGTTGCTTGTGAGTTCCCAAAAACAAAACCGTGAGAAAATGGTAAGCCCAAAGCGGACAATATTGTGCTACGGTGGTGGAGCGGGCCCGGGAAGTGATTCCCCCCGGGCCGGGATGTGACAAGGTGCACTAGTACAAATTTGTCACAAGAATGATAGATTCAACAAACTAGTACTAGTGCACACATCGATTTTTGTTGATGAGCGATGCCACACAAAGTCATCATAGGAGAGCGAGACCACCTAAAGTCACCAAGACAAGACCACATCAAGTTGACGCTCATAGGCAAGACCACATATTCTGCCAAATGCGGCACATACAAAATCTACACTAATCTGACAATAGAATCCACCGGTCCCCTATTCGGAAGAAGGTATGTGTCTCGCACGTGACCATTGCCAAAGAATAATCTTGCCTAATCTTTCTACATTTAAAAAAAAATTGTGTTTATGAATAATATTCTTAATTATCATCTCAATTACTTATACGGAATTTACTAAGCAGACAATCGCTTACACGTGTATGTATACAATTTCTCTAAAGAAATGTTAAGGAGACTCTCTGAAAGTATGACTCTCCATGTACTCTCTACTACCTCATAGTTTAACATTAATTCTTGTGACAATATTATAGAAAATTGTGCCAAAAATATAAAGTGGCAAAATCCACAAAGAGTCTCCTTAGCATTTCTATTTCTCATTGTTGATGGTTAGAAGTCACTCCACACAAATCAATGGGAAAAATATCCCGTGCGAATTCCATTGCACATCTCTTACTCATACTTCTTTGTCAAAGTTTTGGCGTACCCTAATTAGCTAGGAAGAAATGGGTATTTTTGCAACATGGACCTTTTGGTTTGGTTGAATTCATGTCTATGACTTCTAGCCATTAATTACATTTATCCGCTAATTAATTATGAGGTGTCACCTTCATACTTTTTCTATATTCTATGGGAATGAGAATCCTCTTCAGATCCTCTTTGTGAGAATTTCGGGGATCCTTCAATTACATCCATTTATCATACATCATGTAGTTAATTTTCGTTAGGTATTATTTATATTCAATTTTAAATAAAAAAATTTACAATGATTTCTGACCGTAGTGATGTACGATGAACAAACATGATTGGATGATCCTCGGATCCTTACAAAGAGGATCTGGAAAGGATCCTCATTCATTCTATCGATCGACTTTTCTTCATTTATCCTCCAAATTGACCCTTTCTCGGATAAATTGGGTTCTCTTGCCCTCATTTCTCCTTATTAATTGAAACCTTTTTTTTTTTTTTTTTTTTTTTTTTTCATTTTTAATCAAAGTCCATTGACTTTTCTTCATATCATTATTTGAATATTAAATTGTTTACAAGTCATTATATGTCAATTTAAAAGGAAGAGGATCCTCTCCTGAGCATAGGATGGGGATCCTCCTGACCACGAAATCTGAACCGTTCAATTTTAATCCAACAGTTGCAATTATTATAACTTTTTAGGGGACCCCCTGTTTAGAGTTGTTGGATTAAAATTGAACAGCCTGGATTTCGTGGTTAGGAGGATCCTCATCCTGAGCTTAGGAGAGGATCCTCTTCCAATTTAAAAAGGGAAAATTAGAATTTCCTACAATTTTTCTATATCATTTAGATTAAAATATGTGTCTTTTTAAAATTTGATTAAAGTATTTTGCACTTTACCACCTTTAAGTTAAATGAGTGTCAACATTTATGTACTATCTCATTTTTTTTCTTTACAATTTCATGTACCTAATTCAATATTCTATTGAATAGGGTGGTAGAAATGTTGGGTTTCCACCATGCGTCTTGGGTTCGAAATTCCCTCTCCCCTAAATTAGTGAAGTTTCGAACTCTTTCCTCTACTCTTAGTAGTAATAAAAAAAAAAATTCTCATACACAAATTTTTGTTCCAAATCAACTTTTATATATTTCATCACAAAAACAAGAGAGACGATATTTACATGCCTCTTTCTCTTTTAGCACATCTGTTTATTCATATTTCTTTATTCTCTTTTGCTTTATTTGATTCAAAAATCATAAATAAACAAGGGTGAGCGTGGATATAGAAGAAAGGTTTGTGGAAATCATCCTTCATAAACAAATATTAAGCAAAATTGAGCATAAAAACGAAGGTCAAGTGCCTCTCTTCTCTTTTGATTCGAAGGTAAACTGTGTGATCCTTACCCCCTTTGGATTTCTATTCAATTTCTGCTTGCTTAGTACTTGTTTTCGTGATGAAGATGCAAGTTGATTTGGCACGAAATCCCATAATTTGTTTATGTGATGATTTGTGTCTGCGGTGTAGTTGGGGAAAAAAAATTTAATATGCTAAGAACACGACTATTGCAGTACTAAATGACATAATATAAATAGTTAAAATTTTATTTTTAAGTATTCAATTGTTTGTATAATGCCACTAAAGATACATACACTGAAAAATCTCTCTAGGGCCAACCATGGCATTTTCGTGTCCTAGGGTTAACACAAAACTGAGGCCATACGTATTGGAAGTTGCTCCATTACAACTAGGTATGGTTTTTTGGAATGGCAAATAGAAGAGAGACAGAGAGAGAGCAAGTCAAAGAGAAAAGGAAAGGAAAGGAAAAGAGAGGGAAGAGAGAGGTGGGAGAGTGTTATTTCGTGGTGAAATGGTGCGCTGCCAACGTTGAAGAATATGATTTTTTATTTTAAAGACTTTAGTTTTTAAATTTTAATTTCTTTACTATATTATAGACATAGAAGAAATGGAAGGATTCACAAATTATTTATTTATTATTTGATTAGTTACTTTAAATCATTTTAGAGCTCATTTATTTTAACATTCCGAGTTAACAAATCTCTTATTAGCAAGGGTGATGGAGGTTAAAAATCTGTTGTTAGATAACATTTTGAATTTAATTTAGATAGTAAATGTTGAAAATTGGTAAACTTTCAGGTAGTAAAGTGAAAATAATACAAATAGGACTACCCTTATAGTTGTCCAAAATTCCATTGATGTCTTTGGCACGGTTGATCTAGGGCAAGGGTGTTTGATGTGATTGAGGCAATGAGGCTAGACCAGGAGGCAAAGGGATTTGGATCCTCTCCTGAGCTAATGGAGAGGATTCTCCTGATCCATCATAATGGACCGTTAGATTTTTATCTAACGGCTATAATTATTATAACTTTAAAGGGACTCTCCTATTTGTAGTAATTGACTCGTTGGATAAAAATCTAATGGTCCACGATAATGGATCAAAATGATCTCACCATTAGCTCAGGAAAGGATCCAAATCCAAGGCAAAGTAGCATAATACAGATAGGACTACACTTATAGTTGTCCAAAATTTCATTGATGTCTTCGGCACGGTTGATCTAGGGCAAAGGTGTTTGATGTGATTGAGGCAACGAGGCTAGACCAGGAGACAAAGTAGCATGTATGCTTTTCACGTATAGGAATAATTTTTTTTTTTTATTTTTTGGGATAATAAATGATAGCGGTATTTCATTGATCATCACAAACAAATATAAGGGTGCCAATTGGATACATTGCTTCAGTGACTAATATGTTGATTTAGAGTGAATTTGCACAAATAAACGATTAATTAAAAACCCTTACACGGCTACCACAAGCAAGGTGCACTAGTACAAATTTGTCATAAGAATGATAGATTCAACAAACTAGTACTAGTGCACACACCAATTTTCAGCTGATGAGCGAGACCACACAAAGTCATCATAGGAGAGTGAGACCACCTCAAGCCACCAAGATGAGACCACATCAAGCTGACACTCATAGGCAAGACCACATATTCTGCCAAATGAGGCACAAACAAAATCTACACTAATCCAATAATAGAATCCACCGGTCCCCTAATCTCAGTGGAGGATAAGGACACACAATCGAATACCACCTACAACTTCATTACACAAGTGAGATTTGTAGCTTCCATAAGGTAAGCAAGCAGAGCCGCCACAAATTTGGGTGCCTAAGGCAACACAACCACATGCTTGTTGGCTCATGTTTGCTCAGATTGGGGGAAGATTAAGGTTATCGCTTTTTTCATATCACATGCTCTCGCGTGTAGCTTTATGTGCAATGGGTGACTAGTGCTAACACAACTCGTTCGACTTTTTGTTTTTAATGAGACTATTTTTATAACTCAAACATGCAATTGTTGAATCTCTTGCCAAAGTCATACCTTGGCAAAAAGACATGTCATTTCCCAAGCTACGTAGTTTCCATATGCAAAAGAAAATGCAGTTTAGCCAAAACGGTTCTTGAAATTGGCATAACTCCTCACTTTGGTACCTAAGATTTGAAATCGATGGAAGTAATCCTTGAGTTTGTCCACCATCAAACATCTTGGTCATTTCGAGAAAAACCTATGTTAAATAAGGACCAACATGACAAAAATACCCTCAATTTTTGAATTGGGAGTATTTTTGTCATTTTGATCTTATTTAACCAAGATTTTTCGCAAAAGAACCAAAATGATTGAGGGCAAACATACTCAGGGACCACTTCTATCGATTTTAAATCTCATAAATCAAAGTGAGGAGTTATGCCAATCTCAAGAATTATTTTGGCTAAATAGATGCCAAATCATTGACAGTTTGGTTAGACTCAAACAAAACAATTCAATCTACATATATTTTTCATTGCTTTAGGATATACTTTACACAAGAATTAGAAACTAAAGGCTTATCAACTTACACTTAACACCTCATATTAAGCTATATAAAAGCAGCAATCGCGTGTAGTTAAGTAATTATTTACATTGTAACTAGCTAAAATTTTACAGACCCAAGTGTTTGAATCAACCTCAAAGACATGGAACCGATGTACACAACCAAAAGCCCACCTCCCAACACCCCATCAAGCCTCATACCTCTTCTCGGTAAAACCACGAGTGCCCAAAGCAAGCCGATGGCCAAGAAACACACCGTCTCCAAGAGGTATGGATCGCTCTGTATCAAGACGGGTGATGGAAATTTAGACCAAGCTGAGCCAACAAGCGATAACCCTAATCCAAACAGAGTGTTGAAGATAGGGCCAGCATAACATGCTGAAAATGCAATCTGAGCTCCTTTTGTTCCACCATTCAAAGCCATTGTCAAATTGGTTATCAAATCTCCAAGTGAGTTGCCCCAAGCAAGGACTGTTAGCCCTAAAATTGAAGGACTCACACCTAATATGTACCCTAATGAAACTAACAACCCTACCAATTCTTGAGCTGTAAGATAACTCCAGGTAATACTCATTACAAACCCCGCAGTAAGCCAAGGAACTAAGGACTTTTTTGGTGGGCTTGACTTCTCAGTTGTTAAAAAAGCAGCAATCCCAAAAGTGATTCCAAAAACCAATCCAATAATATAGATTGCAAGCTTTGTCTTGAAGCTAACATTTCCAAATTGATGGTTCCAAAGTGTTGACAAAAGCACTGGTGCTAGTGTCACTGAAGCAACTGCATATGGCTTACACCATCTTTCTTCACAGACTACAGGAATAGGTCAATCTCCTGGGCAGATAAAGTGGCAGCTCAAGTATGAAAATTAGCGTGCGAAAAAAAGCTGATGATATAAGATTACAGCAGCATTTCTTGACTTGTACTACTTCAGAACTGCCTTGCGCAGGCTCCTTCCTCTGCAGCACTGAGATCTTCCTCTTCAATGCTGCTAAGAATTGGCACAGTCAAGTCACTCTCATTGCTCGAATTACAGCTCAATTCAAAGCATTTCTTCCGACGTGTGTGTGAAACGTAAACCACAATCACATAGACAATATAGAGTGAAGAGAAAGCCATTGCAGCCCACACATCCATTTCCTTGCGAATCAAGATAACACCCAAACATACAATGACCAAAAGGTAGAAGCAAATATCTCTCACAAAGTCCGATTTGTTAACTCGAATGCGCCTTTTGCGCATCGAAATGCTTAAGATTCCAACCACAACACACGACACAAAAGAAGCACCACCCAAAATTGTATTAAGACCGATTTCGCCATTCCCGCCACCCATAAACGAAACAAGACTGGAAAACACATCATTGGCGCCATTGCCAAGAGAAAGCAGAGTTACCCCAGCAATTGTTGGGGACAATTTTAACAGCCTAGATAAACTATCAAGTGAAGAACAGAAGTACTCAGAAGCTGTGTTTCCCATCAAATAGAACAAAACCAGAAGCCAAAGAAACATACAGCAATAACCCAATTGAGGAAAAGTTCCAAACTTGCAGTAGAAAATTTTAAGATAGTTTATATAGCCTTGGGAGACACATGGGTTTTTGGATTTAAGGTGAAAGCACTTTGCTTTGTAGTCATCTAAACTAAGAAAACCCTTGCAATCTAGTGAACCAGAAAATCTGGAAATCCCAGAAGCGCTTATCTCAGAAGTGCTTAGAACCGGAAAATCTGAAGCTTCAAAATGTACAATCAAGAAAGCACATCCCACTAGCAGAAACGAGATGTTCAAGAAAATTATGTAATTTTTGTACTTTGGTAAGAAAACTAAGGTGCCCATTAGAGAAATTCAACTAAAAGTAAAAAAAAAAGAAAAGTAGAGAAATTGATTGAAATTGAATCTACCTTTATGATTGTGCTCCAGAGCAATTGGAGAAGATCATGAAAACCCAAAAATTAGGAAGAAATACAGGAAAATATACAAATATAAAGGGGTGGAAATTAAAAAGGATGGAGGGTTTATGAATTTGGTAAGCTCAAAGGTCTCTGTTCTTTCTATGTGGAGAGGAGTGGTCTGAGTTTCCACATTGTGCCAATTTGGGCGACAGATGTCGAATGATGGTGCCGTTGGGGCCCATCACTGTGTAATGAAAAGTGGTCCCCACGATAAAGCTACACGTGGGAATTTGGTGGACGTCGGCTTTCAAAGTGAGTCAAGCGTCTGATCTGTGGGAACAAAGAGACCCCACGATATCAAGACTTGCGTCGTACTCAAAGCTTCAACATCAATCCTCCCCTCCTTGCCAATGTGCTTTACATTTTACTTTCTTTCTTAATAAATTGTTTGTGGATCACGTTCTTTGATAAATGGCAAATGCTTCCACTAGTCTGTTTCACGTCACTTTTCGTCTTAAGAAAAAATTATGCTTGCAGTATTTCGTCTTAAGAAAAAGTTATGTAACTAGTTTGTTACGCTACATTCTTAAATTTATTATTTGAATAAAATAATGTCACATTCCGGTCCCGGTTCCGGTCCCCACCACATTCCGGGCTCGATTTCACCATAGCACGATATTGTCTGTTTTTGAGCTTTGACCATGCCCGGATCACCTATGCTGGAAATGCTTTCGTGCGAACTCGCTTAACTTTAGAGTTCCTACGGAATCCGAAGCCAGTGAGCTCTCAAAAGGTCTCGTGCTAGGTAAAGATGGGAACATACATATAAGGCTTATAGGATCTTCATCCTTGGACGATATGGAATCTTACATACAATGTTTTAATAAATAATCATTTAAATACAATATTTTAACACATAATCATTTAAAACATTCATTTAATTATTTTTTTATATTTATACTCCAACTTTAAACTTCAATCTCAAAATGACATACATTTTGGACATAAATTTGATGAGAAATCCCCAAGTGGTATTAGCCAATTTATCCTGAACTTGTACGTCATTATCAATTTTTTCTCTGAACTTTAATTTTAATCAGTTAACTCCTTAACTTTTATAATTAGCCAAATCATTCTTGCTGTTGGATTTTTTTTTAATTTTCCATTCATTATTCTGTCCATCTCGGTATTTATGAGGGCATAAAGGTCATTTTGCACCTCACCAAAACCCAATCCCAGTTGATGCTTCAACAGTGTATGTGCCTTCCTATTCTATCAACAAGGAATCAAGGTTGAATTTTGATGAGAGCAGGGAATTAGGATCGATTTTGATGAGAGATAAAATGAATTCTTTGTCCTCAATTTTTCTTGCATGGGCAGCACGTGACCTAGATGGACGAAATAGTGGATGGGAAATTAAAAAAATCTAAGTGATGGGGTGATTAGGCTAATTGTGAAAGTTCACAGAGTTAATTGATTAAAATTAAAGTTAAAAATAAAAATAATAGTGACTTACAAGGTCTCAGGGAGTAAATTGACTAATATCTCAATCCAAAAAGCACAAGTAGAGATCTCATTAATGGAAATTTTAAAACACTAACCATTTTCTAACATATAGCCTTGGAGTGGATAACTCCTATATTCAAAAGATTATTAAATTTGATAAACTTTCATAATCAAGAAACCCTTGACGGCAAGAGAAAGATTATTTAATTTTAAAGAAAGTTATACTTATTCAAGAACACATAAGCCTTACTCGTTAGATTAAAAAGTATCGAAAATACGAAAGATAAACGAAAAAGCAAGAACATGAAGTTGAGCACATTTTTGTAATAAAAAAAATGAAAAAAAGAATGAACGCATGATGATTTTTTTTGTCGTTACTAAAAAAAAAGATGAAAGCTTCTTTAAGCTTGTAAATTATATGAAATCTGAATTATGTTAAAAAGATTCCTGGTATCAAACCGATTCCAAAAATTCAAAAATGTTTTCGAAATTGGAAAGAAAATTTGATTCCGAGAATTTCAAACACAACCTGTTTAAGAAGCATTAATCAAACCGGTGATGTTCGGATAGTACTACTTATTGGGCCGAGCTCGGCCCAAAAAGAAAATCTTTAAAAAACTTGGGCTAAAACATGTAAGCTTGACCCATCTGCCATCCTCAAACCCCAAAGAAAACTATTCGATAACACCAAGAAACCAACCAACCAAACTGGAGAGACTTTCCCAACCCAATTCGTCGTCGTCGATTACACCGAAGCATTTTCTTCTCCCTCATTCCCTCCCTGTAATTTCTCTATGTGATATTTGACATCAAAGATTCAAAATTTGATCATATGGGTTCTGCTTCTGCTGCTGCAAGTATGGCGTCTTTGATTACTTTCGTCCCTGTTTCTTCGACAAGATTGAGTGTCCATGACAAGTTGTCATTTGGGTTTCATCACAAACGTGGTGGGTCGATCGCCAAATTTGCTGCCGCCATCTCTCCCAACGGCTCTGTTTCTCCTTCTTCTTCACATGGGGTAGGCCTCTGTTTCTTCACCTCTATCACTTTTCCTTCATATTATTTTATTTCCCTGGAAATTTTTGTATTTTGAGCTGTTTATTTGTTTTTAATTTCTTTTTAGTTTGATGGTTTAATTTTGTATCAATTTTTGTTTTTGTTTCTGTGGGTTGGCTACGTTTTTAGTGATCAACCTCTAGTGTTGGTTGAATTTTACTATTGATTAATGTGGAAGTTCCACCAAATGACTCGTACAAATTGATGTTGGCTGGACATTTGGAATGTTAACAGAAGACATGGGGTATTGGGAGCTAAAACTTAGCGCAAACTGAGCGCACTGGCGTTTTAGGGTTCATACAGCCGAAGGCTTTGTTGCTGTTGTTGTTACAGCTAAATGATTTTGTATTAAAATCTTAATTTTGACTGTTTCTAAACGGTAATGGATTTGAAGTAAGTTCATTTATTAATTTGAGGCTCGTCTGGTTCGTGTGTACTTTATGTTTTCACAGATTTGATTCGTAATCTCCAAAGTTTATAATTCCATAACCTCGTATAGCATTTGGTCCTTATAACCAAGGTTTTTCGATTGATGGCGTATAAGCTTTTCTCAGCTTCTGTCATTTTTAAGAATGTGCACGTGCATATCTAGGAGGAATGTTGAAGTTTGGGATTGGAAGGAAATGAAAAGGGGTGTCTTTTTATCAAAAGATGAGGTCAAGATAATTTTTTGAGGAAGCTTCAAGGCCTTGCCGAGATTGCAAGTCTGCGTTGAGTTCCAATTGACGAAGAGTTGTTTAAAACAGTTGAAATTATACTGTCTTATTTGAAAGGAAGCCTTTACCTAGGAAAATATCAAAGCTTGTTAGGGGTCTTTTTTTTGTTCTTTAACTACATAAATTGTGCATTGAGATGATTTCTTAGCCTGAATGAGTAAAACCAGGGAAATGTGAGAATGTCACATGATTGACGGAAAATGATGAAATAAGGTAATGAATTTGGATGGAGTAACATAATCAATCAATGTACACTTGGGTGCGTGCTTAACGCAAATATATGTTGACTTTCTTTGTAACAGATTGCTGGTTGCTTTTCCTTCTCACGAATAGTCTATTTCAACATATAGTACAATTTAATTTGGCTCTTTAAATAGTTTATTCTATCTAGAGTTCTATTTCTTAGTGTGCATGAATATGCCAGTAGCTGTTTGCACATTGTACAGATCGAAGACAGAAGACTTGCACTTCTGTTACTAGTTAAAATTTGGGGTGCCTATTCGTCCATAATATGTTTATCGTGAGTCTAAATCTCTTACAGCATTTATTTGATCTTGTAGTCTGGGTGCTCAGCTGGATGATGCGGATAAACAAAGAAGTAGTCTTGAATCTCTGTTTTGTTATGACAAGTCTGTACCGGAAGAGAGAATTGAGAAACCTGTTGGGATATCTTTGACCGAGAAATTCATTGGAAACAAACCACGATGCATTGATTGTGAAGCCAAAGGTGCAGTCCTTTGCACCACTTGTTCTGGTTCAGGCCTGTATGTTGATTCAATATTGGAGAGCCAGGGTATTATTGTCAAAGTTCGCTGCCTAGGTAATTAGCTTATCTTCTCTTAACTGAGTTTATAGTTGACTTGAAAAAGAAAAAGATGCTTGCACTTGATTGTCAAATATTAAAGTTTTATATTGTTGATTTGAGTATGTATGGCCAATGAGAGTATGCTAACGCAATAGTTGCTCCATGTAGGTTGCGGGGGAAGTGGCAACATTATGTGTGGAGAATGTGGTGGCCGCGGGCATCTAGGATGACCTTACTGGTTCGTTTATCTTCCTTGGATTTGTTGTATGTGCAAGTAACTTGTATTAGTCATGAAGCCTTCTCGAATTTTTTGTGACTGATTACACGATGAGTTAACATTGAAGTGTAGTAGTATCGAATTTAATTCATTTACTTTTAAATGGTATTTTTCCTCAGTTTTAATGTGCTCTTAATCACGTTGAATGTTCAGAACTACATATCATTTGCAGAAAACTGGGTGATGTTACTTTTACGGTCATTTTATACAGTGCTCAACAAGAATATATGAAGTTTGATGGAGAAACAAAGAGGATTGCATGTACCTGTTATATCTTCGTAAAATTTCTATGTACAGATCGCAGTTTAGTTTGGAAAATGTAGTATAATCAACAGAAAAATGCTACGTACTTAGTTTCATGGTCTGGTAAGATGTAGTCTAAGATTTTCGACATATACAAACACGAAAGTTACAAGTTTCCATGTTTAGCTCGTCTGATCTATTTCTGTTATGGTACTTTCTGATATATGCCTCTTGAATGATTTGAGAATGAGTCTTTCTAGTCGACTGCTGCTGCGATAGGCTTGATTACTTGTTGATAGCTTAGCTTGCAATTGTTATGCCTGAAATCTCCGGAGCTCTTCAATACGAGCAGGTATGGTCGAATCAAATCTAATGCTCCGCGGATCTTCTGCATACGCCACGTAGTAAGACGAGACACATGCTTGTGGCCATGCCATAGCAACCCTACACTGAATCACATACATCAAAGACAAAGTTAAAACACATTAGTGTTTTGATATTGCTAAGTTTACTGAGGAAGGATAAGTACCATGAAGTATCCGATGAAGAATGCGTATATTAAAACTTCTGTAGCATAGCTCTTGTGAATTATAAGAGCCCAAGTCCCGCTCACTAGGCTGCAGATTGCACCTGCTGCCACCCCTGAAAGAAAACAGAACGATCCGGTGAGATCCCAGTCGATTAATTCTTTCAGTCCTTCGTTCCCGAACATCTCCCAAGTATCCGACGATGCCTGCACAAACTCCTTATTGTACGCTCCTACGTGCACAAAACCCCAGCGATTCCCATACATCACCAGCGTCGAAGCCATTCCTGAATAGCAGTTGGCACACGAAAACAGAAACTCGTCTGTATCCCCTGCAGTCAGTTTCATGGCTCGGGCTGAACCACGGATAACCCCAAGAACCGGGACCAAGATGGAGCCGATGCAGATACACCCAGTCAAGTGCTTAATGGTGTCACGAAAAGCCTCATTCGTGTCAATCTCTGTTCCAAATGTGAAGTTCATATACTTGATTCGCGAGACAGTAACTAGCAGCGTGTTCTTGATTACTTGCATCGTCCATGCCATGCTTAGCAAGATTAGTGCGATGAACAGGACTTTCCAACTACTCCTGATAGCAGTGGCTCTTCCAATGCCGGACACCAAGAGACACGAGTAAAGAATGCTGACGGAAATTGATCGAATGACTAATGTTGTAGTCTTCGGAGTAGGAAAGGCAGTGGAAACTGATAAAACTCGAATTGCGTAGTCAAAACGGGGACTGACCCAACAGGCATACAGAGACTGAACGACGGCACAAACGATTGCAACCACACCTGCAGCCAAACTCGCAGGAGAACTTATGTCTATGAGTAGTACACCGACCGCACATGTTAGCAAAGGGCTAAGCCAGAACGCTGCCTTGAAGGCTTTGGAAGGGCTTGAGCTAGTGATCCACTGCCATATGAAAGAAAAAATTGCAGAGCACCCAATTGCAGTGAGCAATGGAGGGTAATACTCAAGGGGTCGGAAATGGTGAGTGCGAGTGTTGAAGATGAGGCCATAGAGCGTAAGGAAGATTATGAAGATCGTGATGAGGATCAAGTGCAAGTAAAAAAGAAGCTTAAAGAGCCTCCTGAGAAATTGTCCGGCTGTCGTTGTTTCGGGTGGAAAGTTGCTAGGTTCTTGCGTCTGCATCCACAGAAATTAGAAAATGAGTCCAATGTATTGATTAACAAGAAGATCAAAGAAGACCGAGAAAATCGATATTGGGAAGAAAGATGCAGCAAGAAAGAAGAAATAAATTGGTGACAGAGATGAGAGCCAGAGAAAGAAAGATTAGAGAGAGAACCTTGATTAGGTTTATGGAGGAAGGTCTGAGTTCTGCTTCTTGAACTTGTACGTGGATGTTCTTGGTAGTCTCCAAACTTGCCATAACTCGATTCACATATCTTAATGGCTTCAAAATTCCGAAATCAACTGTCCTTTCTCTTACAGAAGTTCTAGGAAGGTTTCTACCACTTTCTTTGCCTCCAAGTTTCAACAAAATCAGATGCACTGAAAATTCCCGCACTTTGAATTAAACGTTCTTGCGTCTGCATCCACAGAAACCGAACCGGATGAATCAAGATCAACGAAGACAGACGAAAATGATTTCGAAAGAGGTAAACTGCAAGGAATCTGTTATTCTAATCATCTGAAAGGAGTAACAAGAAATGTTGTGTGAGAGAGAGAGAGAGAGAGAAAGCGTGTTGATGTGTATACAAGAATATATGTAAGTCAATTGTTCCCAATTCTACTGTTGCTTTCTCTTGTTAGATATATGTGATTTCCTTCGCTTCCTTTGGCTCCAAGATTCAACAAATCGATTTAAAAATACGACAGACTGATCAAGTCTGCCTTAATACTTCGTCAATTTTTCTTCAGTAAGATTAACTTGTTAGTCACGCAACTCTCGCTCTTTCCCTCTCTCTTTGCATCATGGGTTGGCTAGCTCCACATGGGCGTTTAGGTTTTGCTAATTAGGCAGGTCAGCAAAGGTGACGTGATCCGCAAGAGTTAAACCAACTTTCTGGCCCTGTGTTTTCCCTCGTGAGGCAGTTGGGCTACATTTTTTTTCTTACACACCCTTTTTTAGTTTATGTTTCTTAATCTTTTTTAATTCATTCGATCCGATGACTGAAATTTGAGAATGGTGTGAGAGATAAAAAGAGTGTGGGGATAGCGCCAATACCCCTCACAAAATGTGCAGCAGTAAGGAAAAGAAGTTGTTTAATTTGTTCAAAAGAAAGAGATGATTGTTAGTTTTCTCTCCTTCGTGAGAGTTCTCCTTTCCTTCATGAAAGTTCTTCTCACCGCCCGCATGTGAGTGCATATCCAGCTTCTGTTTTCCTCCTCCCTTCCACTGATCCTAGCTATGGCTAGGGTTGGTGGTAGCCCCTTGCTCCTCTTGTTTTCCTTTTCTTTCCTTTTGTCCCTGCTTGATTTTTCCTCTACCTTTTTGTTGGTTCGACCTTCTCCTCTTCTCTCTGCTGCCTTTGGTTTCCCTTCCTCAACTCCCTTTCTTCCTTTCTTTTTCCCTCCACCTGCTTAATTTTCATCACTCCACATCCTACCCTTTCCACTTGGCTCACTCCTCTAGTGCTACTCATCCTCTAGATCGACTTCCACTAATCCACACAGTGAACGCAAATCTTCGCGATTCCTGTTTAGGAGGGAGATGTGTAGAGTTTCGGATTTTTTTGATGCTTGGATGTTCGCACCACCTTCTTGCCTCAACTTGGCCTGGTTGCCTTTGTTGCTCGTAGGTTGTTTCCTGCAAGCTTCCTTCGATTTGTGCTGCCAATCTTCGATGTGCTCTTTGGCGGTTGTTGGAGCCTTCTTTTTATCCACTTTGGGGGCTCGATTTGGCTTGTTTTCGGGGCAATTGGTTCGAGTCTAGAGGTCCTTCAGATGGCAGCAGCGGCAGAGGTTGCAAGTTGTTTGGTTTTTTTTGGTTTTCTGTTGAGCTTGGTTTTGTTGTACTTTGGAGGTCCATACTTTTGTTGTTGTGTTTGTGTTGTATGTGGGCCTCTCTCTTGTAACTATGTGTTGTTAGTAATAAAACAAGCAACCCAATTTATAAAAAAAAAGAAAAAAAAAAAAGAAAGAGATGATTGTTTGGTTTAACCACTGACTTACCCTTAACTCCTTCTAGGGCAAACATAATTACAGGGTTGCCCTTCAACAATATTTGGGGGGATGTTCAATTTCCAGGTTCCAACTACTTACCAGGAAATGATAAGGTCAAGTTGAACTGCTACTCTATACATTTTGTTGGTACATGGTTTGGGCCTCACAACATGGCTTGGGCCTCGTATTTTTGGGCTTCGTTTTGGGCCTAACATAGAAATACGTCAACAAAAAAAAATGAGGTTGTGTCCAAAGGGCTCCCTCACCCTTTCTTTAGAGACTCTGCACTTTACTCTCTTAAAGGCTCTCCTGAGAAAACCGGCGAAACAACTCTACGTGGATTACGTTCAATTCTTACTTCAACATACCTGAAAATACAATCAAAAGGTTGATACAGAACAGACTACAAAATGTTAGAGGAAATTACAAATATTCATCATGAGCACTTGCAAGGGCATGTATGATGAATTTGTAAATGACTCATTCCAACTAGTCATTTGTAAAGTTCTCCCACATGTCTTTCTCGTATATAATAATTCGTAGTTCATTTCTCATTAACTTGGCCTCAATCACATGAAACTTGGAAATCTCTCACCAAACCATAATGTAAATATTATGAGTTACACAGTCAAATCAAAACCTATCCAAGGCATCAAACAAGCCTAAATAGTACTAAACTGAAACTGACCATTCTTTTAGTGTTTTAAACAATTTACATAGCACAGATACACTGTTAGTGTGATATTCTTTCTCAATGTACAATGTTATGTGGAAAAACCTACACATATAATTATATTATACGCATAAAACAATATAATAACAGGTGTACTCATATCATAAAAGTCATCATTTTATCAAGTTCCTGTCATTGCTCAAAAGCTAAGCCAGTTAACAAACGCCTCAACAGAATACTAATTAAAGCCTTAAAAGGTCTCTCCTCACCCAACAAGAATAGACTGAGTGATACATCATACATCTGCATCGCCTTCTCTTCAAAGCAAGGAACCCAAACTTTTATCTAACCCCCCCCCTCTCCCCCACACACTTCCCAATCTCTCCTTTATTTTATTCTCCAACCTCATTAGCTTTGCAATTAGCACTCTCTCCTTAACCATTTTAACTACCCTCTCTCTCTTTCTCTCTAAACATTCATCCATGCCCAAAATCTTCAGCAATGGCCATCAAAGTTTGTGTGATATCTTTCCTCCTAACCTCAGTTCTCTTCTCTCTCCTATACATCCCAACGAGGTTAAAAATCCCCATCCACAACTTCAAGCCGGTCATAAACTACTTCAACTTAACCACCATATCCAACACCAGCAACACCAAGCCATATCCAGTGACATTTGCTTACCTAATCTCTGCATCCAAGGGCGATTCCATGAAGCTAAAACGCATGCTGTACGCCCTATACCATCCTGGAAATTACTATCTAATCCACATGGATTACGGTGCACCAGAAGATGAGCACAGGGACATTGCTGACTTCGTGGCTGGAGATCCAGTTTTTGGGCAAGTTGGTAATGTTTGGATTTTGGGAAAACCTAATTTGGTCACTTATAGAGGACCAACAATGCTTGCTACTACTCTTCATGCGTTGTCTTTGCTCTTGAGGACTTGGGATTGGGATTGGTTTATCAATCTCAGTGCTTCTGATTATCCTTTAATCACTCAAGATGGTATGGTGAGTGCTTTTTTTTAATTTTTTAATTTAATTTAATTTTTATTTTTTGTTTTTGCTGCAATTAAATTATTTTTTTGTGTTGGGGTTTTTCTTACTTAATTTCTTGCATCCTTACATTTTTACTTAATTAATTTTATTAAAATTTGTTTAATTTCAGATATGATCCATGCGTTTTCTGATTTGCCAAGAGATCTCAATTTTATACAGCACACCAGTCGCTTGGGTTGGAAGCTGTGAGTCTTTCCTTTTTTTTGTTTAATTTAGTAATTTCATCGCCTACAATTTTTGTTTAGCACTAAACTAATTAAGTTTGACTAGAACAATGTACTCGTTCTCCGCTGTTGTTAAGATTAAAATAGAATTATCGCTCTGATTAAAAGAACAATTAGTACTTCCGTACTTGTACATTGTTAAAACTAATTACTGGTCTTGCAGGAATAAGAGAGGTAAGCCAATGATAATAGACCCAGGACTGTACAGCCTCAATAAATCAGAGTTGTGGTGGGTAATTAAACAAAGGGCTCTCCCAACTGCTTTCAAGCTTTACACAGGTTCAACCCCATCTCCCAAATCTTTTCTTATTAAGAATTATTAATTTCGTTAATTAAGTTGATAATTACAAATTAGAGAAAAACCAGTAGCAAATAGATATCTTTTGCTTTTATTTGTGGGTAATGGTACTGCAGTATCACGTGAACTTCTGAACAACACGCATGTGGTTTATGCATTTTGTATAGGGTTTATATAAATCAAATCTTGAACTTGCTAAGTACTGTTAAGTACTTTTCCTGTTTATAAAATGAAGTGCACATGTCAAGGTTAGTTTAGATGCCAGAATCTTAAAACTGAATGAGCAAATTCTTCCTACTTTTTTTTTTTTTTCCAAATACAAGCGATGTTACTACACTAAATTAGAAGCTATAAAGGAGGGTTTGAACCAGAGAATAATTGGTTGAAGAAGAATGCCTTAACCACTATGACAATTCACCGCTTACAAATTCGTCATACTAATTGAGGATTAGTTTTCCTTAGCTAAGAAAAAAGTGCATTATTTAAAGGTAGCCATTTATCAAATTTTAATGAACCAAGTATTAATTAGTACTAATTGATTATTAATTTTTCAATGTATTGTATATCTCCTTCCACCACTTATATCATATCTCTATCATCCAAATAGAATACTTATATATATATATATATATATATATGTAAAGGGTTTTTTTCAGTTAGAATAGTCTCTGAGATTAGCATAACTTTTCACTTTGGTCTCTGAGATTTAAAATTGATGGAAGTGATCATTGAGATTATCCACCGTCAATTATTTTGGTTATTTTGTGAAATACTTCTGTTAAATTGAGGGTATTCTTATCAAAGCAACTCTTCCACTTGAATTGACAGTTTCTTCAATTTAATGGAAATTTTTCACAGAATGACCAAAATGATTGACAATATTTGGAAGGAGTGTGCTATCCACACATTCCATTTTACTTCTCACACACTCCTTGATAATTTCTATCCATTGATCTTTTTCAATTCATCCGATCCGACGGCTGAAAATTTAAAATGTGTGTGAGAAGTAAAACCGGATGTGTGGATATCGCACCCCAATTCATTCGATCCGACGATCGAAAATTAAAAAAGTGTGTGAGAAGTAAAATAGGGATGTGTGGATATCACATTCCTATTTGGAATCGTTTTTATGGATTTTAAACTTAAAATCAAAATGAAAAGTTATACAAATTTCAATAACAATTTAGGCAGAAAAATCAATAGGTCAACATTAAGCTTCTTTATCTAAAAGTCAATAAAAAAACTAGGGTAGAGAACATTCCAGTTGGAACCCATGATGAGTCCATAACAAGACGAAAGATATGATTAAATTTATGGATTATAAGTAAGTTGTGGTCTTTTCGTTTGGGGCATGCTTCAGATGTCCTTTTCACCCTTTTCTTTATTTCCACTTCTTGGGGTAGGTTTGTGTGACAGTTCATATTTATCATGATATTGTATGCATCACGTTTCTGAAGAACATGCTTTGGCATTTTTGCTCTCTCCACCTAACCATTGTCGGCTGGACCAAACTACTGTTCAACACTCCACACACCTTAATCGCAACACAAAAACGTTAGAAGTTTGAAAAGATATTGGCTAATCAGATATACAATCTCAATTTCTAAATTGTTTAAAGTTGAATATCGACAACATGGCCATAAAATATTTGGCGATATTGCAAGAAGATATTGCAGACATTAAAAATAAATCATTTCAATGATTGAGATTGAGATTTGAAAACTGATCGTTTAGCTAATGCTCCTAATTTTAAACCCAACATTTTCTTAATTAACCTGGTTAAGAAACTTTCTTGTTTTGGGGGTTAATTCTGGTTGAACTCTTTTTACTGCATGTGGTAATATGGTGTAGATCGAGTAATAAGCACTGGTTAACCAAAAAGAGTAATAAGCGTTGAAGAGACAGCAGAGCTATGGCAGACAACCAGACACCTGCAATCTGCATGCACCACACATTTAAATGATAAGGCCTTTAATTTACTGGGAATGCACGTGTTATCTTGCTTCTATAGATTCTTTGAAGGAGTAATTTCCAATATATACGCTTGTTTATTAAACACATAAATATATCAATGGCTTGCAAATATGGAAGTTTATATATTGTATTAAAAAAATATTGAACGCACTCTCATTTTGTTAATTAAAATTGTAAAATATTGGTTTGGAGTGCCTCTAGGGTTATGTATTTGAGCTTCCTTTATTTTTTTTAATACCAGATTAAGCCTTATAATGGGTTAGTTACAATAATTTAATTTGAATTCGCATTCGGCAAAAATAGAACCTAAAAACTCTCATTACGAGTGAAAATGAATAGTACTACGGTCTAAATTTGAGATTTCTTTTACTAATAGAAAGAAGCTTTTGTACTGCCCACGTTGGCAATATGGCCGCTAATGTGGTTTGAATAGCAACGCTCTTACTAAAATGACCATATACACTTATTTATATTGATAATTGTGTCTTGCTTTCAATCCAGGTTCAGCTTGGACAATTTTATCAAGATCTTTTTCCGAGTACTGCATAGTAGGGTGGGACAATCTGCCAAGGACTCTCCTCCTCTACTACACTAACTTTGTCTCATCACCGGAAGGCTACTTCCAAACCGTAATATGCAACTCCGAATACTACAAGAACACCACGGTCAATCATGACCTTCACTACATTACATGGGATACACCTCCAAAGCAGCACCCGAGGTCTCTTGGACTCAGAGATTTTAGAAGAATGATTCTAAGCAACCGTCCATTTGCTCGAAAGTTCAAGAAAAACGCCCCGGTTCTAAACAAAATCGATCGTGAACTTCTTAAACGACGTCGTGGACAATTTGCTTATGGGGGGTGGTGTTCTGGGAGTAATGGGAAGACGCAAAATGTATGCTCGAGTTTGCAGAGTGAAAACTATGGCGTTTTAAGGCCCGGACCCGGGTCTAGGAGGTTGAAATCTTTGTTAACGAAACTCCTCTCCACAAGGAACTTCAAGAAACAACAATGCAGATGATTCCTTTAGCCAAAAGGAATAAATTGTATGCTTTTAATTAGTGTTCTACATGATTTTTTGAAATTTGGGGTTTTTTTTTAAATATTTTATACAGAATTCTAAAAGGTGGTAGTGGTGTGGCGGGCAACTTAGGCGTCTGGGCGGGGCACTAAACAAGCAATTGAACACATTATATTGCCCCTCTATTTTCTGTTTAGGGTGTTTTTTCTTGTTCAACACAATTCTTAGCCTTACAATTGAGTGGGCCTCAAATATTTGTTTTGAGTCCATGGATCATATGCAATTGTGCTGGGATGACTCGAGACCAATATTTCAATTAGGGGATTATTTTCTGGTAAGAGGTTATCAACTTTATTAGTTAAGATCATTCACTTTTGCATCGAGTTTTTGATAGCGATCACTATTTGATTTAGGGTTTAGGATTAGCATCCAACAATACATAATAACGTATTTATTAAAAAAAGTTTCAAGTACGAGTTATGAGAGTTTACTCGAAATTTTTGGTTGAATCATTAAACTTTGCCTGTCCAAAATTAGTTTCCATTTAAGGACAATGTTAGGTCAACCAAATGTGCAAATCAAATGATGTGTCATCAATAAGAAATAAACACGTTAATCAACACTTAAACAAAAATGCTTTCTTAAAAATTTAGTCTCTTTAGCATTACTCTTAAATTAATGTTTTTCAATGCTATAACCCGCTAGGGAGATTAAAAAAAAACATGGAAATTAGAGCTTGTTCACCGATTAGCCAACTTTAAAAGTGGATTTAGACCGTTGCCTGCATTTCTGCATTTTCTGGAACCTAAACCTAATTTTGAATTTAGATGAAATCGCAGTCAGAGTAAATTAATTATATAGTCCACACCCCATAGACAACAACGGCCATTTTTCTTCCACCTTTTTCACGCATTATTTCAAGTTCAATTCAACTAATTAATAAAAAAAAAAAAAATCTTCATATGAAATACCCATGAGAAATAATAAAAAAAACAAAAATAATACATCATCAGCTTGCGGCTAGCAACTTAACGAGTAACTACGTACTTCACCAAGAGAGTGCAACAAAAAATACACCCCATACAGACGGATCACCCTACATAATCTGGTCAGAGAGCGACGGCAATCGCCGGAAAAAGTTTACCGGAACCGACGGCATGTCGTCACGGAACCGTGGGTGGCGCAAGTAGTAGAACCCTGACCCTAACACAAAGGCCTTGAAAGGAACCATGTAAAACACCAAAGAAGCTACCAAGCAAAACACCACAAATATTCCCGTTGCCCTTGGGTCCCTCCAATTAAACAGGGCTTCCAAACGCTCCCCCTGGGCTGCCACGTCTCCCAAAAGTGTTTGGGCCCTACCTCCGAGGGCTCGCAGTCGATCATATCGGATACGAACTATATCCGCCGGTCGCGTGGACGGAAACCCATCGAGCTCCTCATCCAGCTCGTCCGGGCTCACCGCATCGACGTACGACATCCTTGGGTCCATATTATGTGGGCCCCGTTGACGATACCGCGACCGTACCAGTAGGACCAAGAAGGCGTACATGAACACGGTGGGTAACAACAAGTGCGGACAAACCACAACCGCCACAAGCAGCAAGTGAACTAAAACAGTGGTGGGCGGGTGCATCCACGTGCGGATTCCATCGAGCCAACGGGCCAAAGTTGCCACACGTGACAGGCACCCCACCACTCGAAACCAATTGGCCTTGCTTCTCCTCATGCTCCACACGTGTGTGTCCGAATCCAACATGAACTGAACCACCTCTTGTCCCAAAGGCGGCTCGGACCTTGCAAGCCGAGCCGTAACAATCCGCATAGCCGTGTGCCTCAAAATATCTTGCTGCGCCGGACCTAGTGGGCGCACGTAGTGCATCCTAGGAAGCATTGGTGACGTGTAAGCTTGGATCAGACTAATCCACGATGAGCATGAGAATCTAACGGCTATCTCAATCTCTCCCATTTTCTTGGCCCCACCAGGAAGCAACACCGTAAGGGAATATGAACTCATGTACACACGATTAACATCCAAAGTCGATAGCCGCAGACGGATCTTCCCGACCCGAATATCCTTCTCGGGTTTTCCCGCTTCATCGCTCTTGTACCTTCCGTTATCAAAAACTCCAATAGTGAGAACCGTACAAGGATCGTATACGTCCCAAGTGTACTGCTCGTTCCACCGTGGATTAAACCGGTCGAGAATGGTTCGGGTCCGGACCCACTTCGGCCCGTATTTGGCAACCACGTAAGTATCGGTGGTCCCACGCACGCCATTTTTGGTCTTCACCGGTAGCAAATTGGTGGCCCCGCGAATACCAACTTCCAGCAACCCAATCGGTGGTTTCGCAAGCTGCTTCGCCGCCGCTCTAACATCGCTGGTTACGTGCGCCGCCTCATCCAGCACGTGATACCCGCCTTCCAAACAAACTCGCAGGTGTATTCTTCCCGCGTAAGGACGCGTCTCGTCGCCGACCAAATTGAACCACATGGACTTTGGCTGGGCTCGATCATCGATCCTCCTCTCGACACTCGGCACGTGTACTTTGGCGTGGCCCACAGACTGCCCATTAGTTACGTCTTCAACGGTCAAAAGCAGAAACGGCTCAAACGGCTCGGCTGCCACAAACACCAAGTCTTCGTTCCAAGTTGGGTTGGCGGAGCTCGAGGACGTGGACCCTACGGCCGTCCTACTGGTCTTGAAAAGCTGCGGACCCAGCTGGGCTTTCACGTAAAGTTCGGGATTTCGAGCCTTGGGTTTAGCTTCGGATCCCGAACCTAGCTGCAGATCCTGGGTCTGGATGACCGTTAGTCTCAAATACCAAAGCTTTGGAGACAGATACACCTTGGCTCGGGTCTCCGGTATCAACCCGCCTGAATCGGACTGCCACGCCTCCTGAAACGCCTCGTCCGCCTGAGTCCCAATCCACACCGCCAGCATGACGTCATTTCCCGCCGACTTCTCGGACTCCAGAGTGTACCATTGAGGAGCCAGAGGACTGTCCGGGGGGACTCGCTTCGGCACCTCCTGCAGATCGAACGACACAGTCCCGAGGCAGCTCTCTGTTTTAATCGGCGGTTCGTTTTCCTTCTTCTCCTGCGCCTCCGCCCATACGGAAACTTCCAGCGACGTCGAATTCAATCCTTCCTTGTCAAAAGCAAATACTTGATCCCAATCTTTGCCGTCAATCTGAGTCTTGGTTTTGATGCTGTGCGTTCCGATCGCCAGCTTTGCGTAAACGGATTCGGTGCTGGTAGGACCCGCATTTGCTCTCTTGGATTTGACGACCCGGACATATAGGAACGGCATACGATCGACGAGATCGTACGCGTTCCGGCTCCGATCCCGAACCAACGGCTGAAGCTCGAGCTCGCTGATTCCGCCGTTGATCACTTGCGCGTTCTTCTCTTTCTCCGTTTGCTTTGTTTTCTCCGCCACTGCGTACGCGATTGGAGGATTTTGAACCTCCGGCGGCGGAGCTGGTGGTGTGGCAGCAGCTGAAGCCTCCTCAGCCTTTTCCGGTGGATTCGGCTTCTCCTCCGGTTTCGCCTCCTCCTTAGGCTTTTCTTCTTGTTTATTGTCAGTCTCCTCTTTCTTTTCCTCTGCTTTCGCCGCAGCAGCCTCTGGATTTTGATCCTCTGATTTTGGATTCTCGGGCGGCTTCTCCTCCGTCGCAGGCTGAGTATCAGGCGCTGCCTCCTGCTTCTTCTCCTCCTCTGCCGGTGGGGGCGCGGGAGGATCTTCGTCAATGTAATAAATCTTCAATCCGACCTCGCCCTTGATCTGAGAAAACACGCTCCGCTTCTCCAGCGGAAAGTAAACCAGCGCCGCCGCATCAGATTTCACAAAAGTATTTCCCGGAATCTTTACTTTTCCTAGAAAAGTGCTGCGCTTGGCGGCCTTCTTGTCGTTGTAGATGTTGATCTCCAGCATCTCGGTGGCCATGGATTCGCTGTCGTTGACAAGAAACTCTAGCTTCTCGTCCCACTCGGGGTTGAGATCTCGCTGCTTCGTCTTCGTCCGCCGCCGCTGCCCGTCGTAGTCGACGATCGCGTAGGCGCTCGCCGTCCCCTGTCCGTCTTTCGGCATTAGGTTCTTGGCGTTGCACACTTCCACGATCAGCTTGCGGGTCGCCATGTTTGTTTCCAGAGACAGAGAGGAGAGAAATTGATGAAGATTTTAGAAAGAGAAAATGGTGAAGAAATATTATAGAGAGAGAGAGAGAGAGAGAGAGAGAGAGATGAGTGAGAGAGTGTCACTGACTTACTCTTATGACAAGGGACCGGAAAATTGAAAGGGGTTTTAAAAAGAGGTGGGGAGAGCGGGGACACGTCAGCAGGGCTACGTAAGACAAGGTTGGCCGCGTGGCGGGATCTTGGGGCCCGAGAGATGTTGGATGGATTGTGGGGGCAATAGTAGCGTGGGTTCCTGAGAGGGCTGACCACCGTGCCTAGTGCTGCTCTGCAGAGCAGGAAGGGATTTTTCGATCGGTTTTTATCGGAGGGATAATGTTTCTGATTATTTACAAATTTTGCCATTTATTCATAATTTAGGAGCCGGTGCTTAATTATTCTGTTTTCAAATTTTTATATTTTCTGCAATTTCGTTTGAAAATTTAAAAAATAAAAACGAAATGGTTATCAAACGACAATTTAACTAACCAATTTTCATTTTAATACTTAATCATGAAAGTACATTAAACAAACTAATTAATATGGCGTCACATATATGAATCAATGTTGCAAAAATACACAATGTTGTGAAATCATTCATTAGGAGACCAACATCTGAGATAGCAAGTTTTCTCTCGCATTTGATTACTATTCCTTAGCTTTTAAGGAATTCATTCATCGTGGTTGTAAGCGACAGATTTTTCTCAATTTTTTCTCACTTGGTAGCATAGGAGCAAGGAAGAAAGATTGAGAATAAGAACTATTTGATTTGATTCATTTCCAATAGCTATGAGATGATTATCTGCATTTTATCAACCGATACTTTTCTTACACTTGTAGCTTTTCAAGGCTGAGAATGCAGCTATGTAACATCTCCATCGAAAATTGAAGTATTACACACGTGTGTCAAATTTACAAAATAAAAACCACATAATACGTAAAATGACATTGTAGGGTATGCATGCTTTCTTGTAGTAGTTACATGCAGTAGGGCATGCACGATTTATTGTCTGCAATTTTTTTTTTTTAAGATGCAGTATTCATTTATATATATTTCTTTATCTTTCTACAACGGCTTTATTTCACTGAACATTGCATTCTATTCCTTTCTACTTTTAAAAAGATACAACATAAGCCAAAATCTATCTTATTTTCATGTCAAAAGCATATATTAGTCGGTTTTCTGCTACAATTGTGTTGTTGCAAAAGGTTTTTAAGTTGTAACTGGGACATTATCATTTGAGCAGAAATATTTACCTTCTCTTTTATTTTTTCAATACAATGACAAAGAAACAGATTCGAACGTGAAATCACTTCAAAGATAGTTAGTCGACGTTGAAAACCAGAATCATACAAGCTTTTACCATTTTGTTTCTATGAATGCATTTACCAGCATCAACACGTACAAAAAATGAATGTAGCTAGCGGAGATGAGAATGCTTCGTTGGATGTATAATCACACGAAAAAATGATGATGTATAAGGTAAAGTACGAGTGACCTGTAATTGAAGATAAGATGAGTGAAAATGGATTAAGGTGATTCGGAAATGTGAATCGAAGACCTACAAATACGTCAGAGCCTCAAGAGATGTGGAGTACTTAGAGTTAATGAAAAACTTAGCGTAAGACTGAGTGCAATAGAATAATTTTTTTTTTTTGTTGTTGTTGTTGTTGAATGCTTACAACTTAATTTACTTACAATATTAGAGAAAGATTTACTTAGAAAATCCATTAGGCCACATTGGTAATTATACATTAACGAAAGATTCGAATTATCGTAACTTGATACAAAATGCAAGTAAAATATTAATAATTATATATAGACATGAAGATGCTCATAAGATTTTGGTTCATTTGGCTTATTTGCCCGTACGCACAAAGCCCTTTTTTATTTTTCTTTTAGAGGCAGGTAAGGTAAGTGGACTCTTGCAGCCTTCTGCAAAAATGAACGTTGCTTTGTTCTTGTGCTCCATAATATATATACTTTGCTCAGTCACTAAGGAAACGGATTTAAAAAGTTGGTCTGAACTTTAGCATTTTTTAATAAGCACTTGGGTATTAGAAAAAAAAGAAAAAGAAAAAAAAAGAGCACTTGATTGGAAAAGATCTCAAGAATCCAAAGACGGTGGTGTACTGTGTACATGCAAATGTTCTCAAAATGTTTTTTATTTTCTTTGCCAAGAAAAATAATTGAACTATAAATAAATTGTGGTGGGAGAAATGTGTGTATATATGAAGGACATGCAGTTTGCATTAAACTATCTAGTGCCAAAGCAATTAAAAAGAATAGTACTTGATTACTCAAGATAAGTATAAATTCTTATTCAAATCTTTTTGTGTCCAACTCAAGAAACTTCGTGTTTAGGATCGGAACTGGTTAGATTATGAATTAATATGTAAATATCATTTTGTAAATAATCAGTTAAAATTAAGGTCGTTTAATAGATAGAAGGTTTGTGATAGTTGATTGACTAAAGGAAGGAATGTTTATCTATTTACCATTGTTAATAATCTATTTGTTTAGTTTTAATTGATTTTTTTTTTGTAGAGGTGATCTATATAGAGTGATTTATAAATAATCAATTTTAATTTTAGCACGAAATTTCATGAATCAGCCGCATAGAATTTTGAGTATAAATTCTTACTCATCTTTGAGCAGTCCAATATTGTTCATTAATAGACTATTAACATTGGATGTGAAGGATACAATCAAGGGCATCTGCCCTGGGCTCCAAAACATCCCAAAAGATGAAAATTTTGGGTGTTAAAAAACATGTTGTGAAATACTCAAGTCTAAATATTGCGTACAAAACATAAATTTAACCTACCCCAATACCAAGGAAAATAAATGAACCTTTTTATATAAATATCTGGATCTGCTCTTTGGAATTTGGATACGATTTCTTCTTTAATCTAAATTTCAGGACAAGTACAGGCACATTGCTTGGGGTTTAGGTGGTTGATGCATCACTTATAAAGTCCAAATATTCCATATGTCCTTGTATCATTATGAACTTTCCTTTTTCTTCCAACTCATAGTGGCTGAGTTAGGCACGATACACGTTGAATGAGGGGTCTTGTTCTCTATCTTGGTCGCGCGTAAATGGTGTGACCTTCTCTCTTGTGCATGCATGGTAGCTGATCCTTTTAGGGTTCTTGGGCCTGTTGTGCTTTTTGCTTCTCTTGATTTAACTCGCTTTTTAATCTGAGTTATCGCTTTGACCTTCTTTTGGTATCAACATGTCGCAAGCTACATTATATAGAGACTTAAAAAAAACAGGCTTTCAATTACAACGAAGGTCGTGACTTAAGATTAGAAACTATTGTGACTACTAAAAATGTATTAGTCACAACATATTTAGAAATATCATAAAGAAATGACAGAGAAATACGGTCAAGCTAATCAAATAATCAAATTAATTGAAAATTGTTTTTACAAGAGAAAACCATCTAGAAATCCATCAAGCTAAGTTGAAATCAATAGAAAACCACCATGCTAAGCTGGTTCGTACATCTAGGAACTTCCAATTCAGTTCTTAAATACTAAGAATGGATAAAAGATTCCACAACAATCTCTGAAGCTGGATGCATTAACTATGCTGCTATCTTTCTGTTGCTGATAAGCTGCTACTGCACAAGCATTCAAGTTTTGAGATCCTCTCCGACTACTCCTCAAAACTGCATTTACATGCAGATGGTATCGCTCTTCTTGGATATCGTCCATCATCAGCGGACGCTTCCCTCAGAACTTGGAAAACTTAGAATCCATCTATCTGAATGCCAATCTTCAAACCTGAATAAAACAACAAGCATAGCAAGCAGCATACAAGAAACTGATTAGATAAGGCAGCCAACTAAATCTAGGATCAACTGCACGAAAATGTTCCTAACGACGAATTGAGTGCTTTATCCAACATCAGTATCACAAGAACCAATCTTCTCTCAGTTGAGTCAGTTTCTAACATTAACTAAAATGCATTTCAATGATTTAATTTAAGTAATTATAACTGGATTGCTGCACTAGCGTTTCTACAATAGTTCAATCTGTCTCCTACTGAATATGCTGATTGTTTACGATAGTTGCTTTAGTCACGTGAATTAGTAACATGACTCAGGTGCATAAGCAATTAGCCTATAATTTAATAAGTGGCGATTACTGTTTTTTCTAAATGACTTGGCTAAAAATTCAGAAAAATGCAAAAAGTGTGAATCACAAGAATTCAATCCAATCATCAAAATCGATTGAATGCTTAAGAACATTGAATTACTTTGGATGTCAACAGAAACAGAATTCTTTGCAGCTCGAATTCGGACTGGATGGGCGGGAAACGGGTTGAAAGCGTATTGTAATTAATTAATATGGTCGAGTTGGTCACTTTTCTCTTTGGGCCTGTAACCTCGAGAAGGTCTTTAGGTTTATTCAGTTGGGTTTAATTAAATTTTGTATTAGTAGAAGCCTTCCAAGTTTTTGAGCAATTACTCTGATAGCCCGTTCCATGTTACTTGTATTACTAAATCAATCGTTTTGCTAATTTTTCCATTCCTTTAAATGGCATGACAGCCCTCCAAGCAATCGGGGTTCTTACTCGCTCTTTCTTTATGCTTAATTTTTAGGACGTGTTTTGATGGTTGTCAATTTAGACTATGAAATCTTTGATCGTTTCATGCTTCGTACCTTATCTAGCATCCCTTTGTTGAGGAATGCACCTCACTCTCTTGCAAATTACATATTTTCAAATGTATGAATTTTATAATCGAAATTATTTAATTTTTTTTAATCTTCATTTGAAGATCATCCATATTAAAATATTATTTGAATAAAAAATTGTTTAGTTATCCAAGTTATTTGGTACTCACACGTTTGATTTGCTCCATACATTTTTTTAACACAAACTATTTTCAATTCAAAAGATTTTTGGTAGGAATGATCTTCAAATGAGCAAACAAAGAGTAAAAAGGAACAACTTCGATTATAAAATTTAGACGACAAAAATATGTTATCGTAATGAGTGAGATATGTGTATCCTTATTAAGAAATTTAAGTATTATCCTTAATTTAATGAGGTGAACCTTTAGTTTCTTGGGATTAGATAGGTTTAGGAGAGCAATGACTTCAATCCACCTTAATGCAATAAATATATGTGAGTGGGTTAGAGTTAAAAAATAATTATCTTGGTTAAAAACTGAGTTCATTAAACTCAATCTTTCGTCAAATCTCGTAGAGCATCATCAAATTAAGAGTCAAAAAGTAATAACAGTTATAAAAAATAATATTAATATTTTCCAACTGAAATGTCAATTCCTTTGTGACATAATATGGAATGTCAGCAAGTAAGTTTGTTGTCAAATTTGGCAGCAGCTTCAAATATTTTTAGTGATTAACAAATGTTTTCATCACCACTTAGTACTACGATTTAGTGGTATTCCTTTTCACTTGTAAGTGAGAGGTCTTGGGTTCAATTCTCCACAAAGACGAATTTGAACTACATTACTATTAGTTCATTGTGAGGTTAACCAAATGGAGAACAAAATTTGAAAAAAAAGTTTAAAAATGAATTTAAATTTGACAAACGATATGGCACTTCGACATCTTTTAAAGTTTTGTTCTCCACTCAATATGTTAAATTAAATTATTATTTTACTACATTATTATCTTATCATATTAATGTTTTATATTTCAAATTTGACATAAATAATTCATAATAAATTCTTATCAGGTAGCACTATTAATGAAAAGCAATGAATTAATGGATATTACAATTTCATATTTATTTTCTTTGCATAAGTAATGAAAGGAAATAAACTAATGAGTATAATTTTTTTTTTTTTTTAACAAACGATCGTATCTATATTAATGAAGATGGGGTACAGTTAGCCTCACAATAGTCTAGCATTAATGTGGTTCAAATTCGCCTTGGACGAGGATCGAACCTAAGACTTCTCACTTACAAGTGAAGAGGAATATCACTAGACCATAGTACTAAGTGTCATAAAAGCATTTAAACATTGCATTAGTAATGAAAGTAAATGAAAATACAACGCTTTTTTTTTTTTTTTTTAATAAATAATATTATCTACACTAAGGGACATGGATGGTATTAGCCTAACAATGGGTTAGCAATAATATGGTTCAAACTCTCATTTGGCCACTTAGTAATATGGTTTGGCGAAAATGTAATATTTTAAACCAATATTACAAAGTTAATAAAAAGAATTTATGTGGCATCCCACATCGCCCAGAGAAGTGATCCTTAAATGTATATTCTCATTCCTACCTAGCACGAGACCTTTTGGGAGCTCACTGGCTTCGGGTTCCGTAGGAACTCCGAAGTTAAGCGAGAAGGGGGCTATAACAATCCCATGATGGGTGACCCACTGGGGAGTTGCTCGTGAGTTCCCAAAAACAAAACCGTGAGGGAATGGTAAGCCCAAAGCGGACAATATCGTGCTACGGTGGTGGAGCAGGCCTAAGAAGTGATCCACCCCGGGCTGGGATGTGACAATTTGGTATCAGAGCCTAACCCTGGCCGTGGTGTGCCGACGAGGACGTCGGACCTCTAAGGGGGGTGGATTGTGACATCCCACATCGCCTAGGGAAATGATCCTTATATGTATATTTTCATCCTTACCTAGCACGATACTTTTTGGGAGCTCACTGGCTTCGGGTTCCATGGGAACTCCGAAGTTACGCGAGTAGCGCGCAAAAGCACTCCCATGATGGGTGACCCACTGGGAAGTTCTTGTGTGAGTTCCCAGAACAAATTGTCACATCCTGGCCCGGGCAGGACCACTTCCCGGGCCCGCTCCACCACCGTAGCACGATATTATCCGCTTTGGGCTTACATTCCCTCACGGTTTTGTTTTTGGGAACTCACGAGCAACTTCCCAGTGGGTCACCCATCATGGGATTGCTCTAGCCTCCCTCTCGATTAACTTCGGAGTTCCGATGGAACCCAAAGCCAGTGAGCTCCCAAAAGGCCTCGTGCTAGGTAGGAATGAGAATATACATTTAAGGATCACTCCCCTGGGCGATGTGGGATGCCACAATTTAACAATGAATTAAAACTTATTTGAAGCTGCTGTCAAATTTGACAGTAACCATTTTTATTGCCAATTCACGTCATGTTACATAAGAATTGACATTTCGATAGGATGCTTTTACTGCCAATATTGTCTATTTTTACTGTTATTACTGATGTAAACTTTTTCACATCTTCTTTAAAGATGCTTTTACGTGCCAATTTTAGTTTAATATATCTTTCAAGTAATAGTTGTAACATCTATAAAAATACTGCTATTTGAAGGACATCTCTAGGGCTAGTTTGGTGTTGTTGTGTTCTTTTAAAAAACTGATTATACTATGCTGTGAGAATAAACAGCTGTAAAATAAAGTTGTTGAGTGTTTGGTAAACTTTTTTTTTCTTTTGTGTGTGTGCGCATAAAAGTGCTTTTAACCAAAAAATAATGTAGTAAACTTTAATTTAAATAAATTGTTGTGAATATATTAAATGACGAAAAATGATATGGTATTTAATATGATATAATAATTGTCAAAAAGAATATTATAGGGGTAATGATTGTAATTTTGTAAAATATGTGGGTGTATACTTGCCATTTGAAAATTTCATTAAATGAGCACTGATTATTATGCTTTGAAAAAAAAAAAAAAACATTTTTTTAGAAGCATGGTAGACCTTGCTTCTGCTTTTCTATACTTTTATATTGTCATTAACAACAGTTTTTTTTTTTTTTTTAAAAAACATTTTTTTTTTTTACCAAACGCATTTGATGTTCCAAATTTCTTAATAAGCCGTTTTTTATTTTTATTTTTTAAAAGCAACACAATCCCAAACCAAACTATTAATTTATTTACCTTTTATTTCTCTTTTACCAATTATAAGTGACTAACACATGCTTCACACTCCACTAAAAATTTGGTACCTAAGATATTTCGACATGGACTCGCACGATCGAGACCTTACCATCCAAATTTTACAAATAATCATTCGAACTTTGGAAAGGTTGTCAGATAATGCTATGAACTGTGTGTCATTCACGTGCTCCTCCATTCTATGATCTCAACACAATCTTTTACCCTATGAGAGTTCATTTCTAATTTCCATATATATATATATATATATATCATAAACTGAAAATTTAAAACATACTAGATTACAACAACCAAAATCCAGAAAGATTTTATTCAACAAGCACGTTATTTTTATCACCCAAAGAATAATTATACATGAAATTATTACAGGTATGGACATGGAAGACATACAACCGAAGAAAACTAAGAAAACTCCAACCAGCTCTAAGTTTCGAAACCAAAATCTACCATAAGGCTCAAGTTCTTCATGGGGGTTTTGGATCATGATCCGGATTTGCTCCTACCCCTGAATAATCATTAGTTTCCAGCTCCATCCGCCCCTCCACAAATCCTTCTCCCAAATCCAGGACACCTTCATCCAGCAAATTCTGAATAACAATAGAAAACTCAAATTAATTTGTGCACTAAATATATTTTGGATTTTTAGCCAAAATAATATATGAGATTAGCATAACTCCTCATTTTGGTCTCCAAAATTTAAAATTGATAGAAGTGGTCCCTAAGATTTATCATTTTGGTCATTCCGTAAAAAATCTCTTTTAAACCGAGGGTATTTTGTCAAATCAACCTCTCTATTTGAATTGATGGTTTCTTCAAATTAATGGAGGACAGAAGAATGAAAATAATTGATGGTGGACAATTTTAAAAACTACTTCTATCTATTTTAAATCTTAATGATCAAAGTGAAAGGTTATGACAATCTTAAGGATCATTTTAACTAAAAAAGCCATATATTTTCTAGGAAAAATAAAACAAGAACTAGAGGAATAATTACCTGACTCAGTAGGTCTTCCTTATTTATCTTCTGGCTTCCTATATGATCGATTCCTTAAGAAAATAAACATAAACATCATTCGCCGAGCATCCTTGTTCTAATTTTTTTTCAATTTTTTTTTTTTAAATAATACAAATGAATGACAAAAGGCTTACTTGTCGTAGGAGCAATAGCAATTGACGAGAAGACATACGTGAAACACAGAAAGAGAACTAGTTGTGTCATAAAATTACACTTGTGCGCCATTCTTCTGCTTCTTATGAATCACTCGATGGATCTACGCAGTAGACGGGAAGAAAAAGGAAGGGGGCAGAGGGTGAGTGATGATGGCAATTGGCACGAGGAAACATGTGGAAGTGGTGGCGTTTTATATTAAGATAAGAAGGACAAGTTGAACATGCAAAAGCCAACACGTAACCAATAACAATATTTCTCCTAAAGTCAACTTGATTAATTATTTATAGGGGGAATCAACTTACATTTCATTTGTGGGTTAGTTCCACTTCCATATATTATCCACTGTATTTCATTTGTGTTAATCTTCAACACATTCTTTAGAACATAATTGAAGATCCAAAGTTGGAGGATGATTCTCTTTCATTCTAATCTCTTTCTCCTTTCCTTTTCTTCTAGTTGAACGGTTACGATTAAGTCATGTTAACATCTTCTATTAACTTTTTTACAAAGACAATAAGACAAAATGTCACAACCTGTCCCGAAATTTACGAAACTGAAGGGTATTTTCGTAAATTTTCACTATGAGATAGATATTTTGAAATGGGTTTGCTTTTGGTCTTCATTGATGTGCCTAAGGGGGGCCCACCCTTTGATTTTGTCCCCTGCCCACTTCCACTTTCCCTCTCTTCTCTCTAAGTTCTCGATCCTCTCTATCTTTCTCTCAAAATAGCTCACTATTCTCTTAGCCCTCTCACTACTCACTCTCATCTTCTCCTCTCTCGAGTTTCACACACATGGCACCACACCCACACACACCAACCTTCTCTCTCTCGGACCTCTTTACCTCTTTCGTTCCTTTTCTCCCTTTGCAAACTAGGGTTGTAGCACCATGGAAACCGGTGCTAAAATTTGGTGAAATTCAGCAAGCATCAACCTCTGATTAGGTGAGCCTCGGAGTCCCTTTCTCTGTCTTAATGGTTGTTTGCCTTGATTTATAAAGTATGTATACCCATTGTAGGTGAAGGTTTAGCTTGAAAACAACTCGGAGGGATTTTCCCCAGATTCCGGCATGGAATCTCGTGACTTTCAGGCAGTTTTCCAGCCAACTCCGGCCACGGCTGGACCAAAGTTTGGTATAGTTTTCTTCCCTTCCTCCATAGCTTTAAATCCATGTATCACATGACTTATGTTGGTTAAATTTTGGGGTTGATCGGAGTTAGGAATGCTCCAGCGTTCTTCTCTGTTGAAAACGGGTAACCTGACTTGAAATGGGTCGATCCGACCCGATATTCATAAACCAATTTCAAACCCAGCCCAAAACCTAACTTTGGGCCCAACTCATTTTAGGGTAATTCGACGTCGTGAATCCATTTTTTATGTCCATTTTTAGAAATTCAATATTTGTGATAGAGTTTTATTAATTGGACCATTTATGTGCTTAGGTGCATTTATTACAACATTATTGTCTTCGCTAGTTTGCACAGCTTTTCGACGGCGGAGTATCTGTGAGTGGACCCTTCTAAAATGCATATTTTACTATTAGAAATGCATACATGAAAAGCATGATTTTATGTCTACATTTTATGAAATGTTTATGAGTAAATTGGTTTCACGCTTTATGAATTATCATGCTTATTCGATTTTACGTTCTTTGTGGTATATATGATTGATGACTATATACCTACTTATGAACATGGTTTTACGATATGATGTTTTAGTTACTGAGCTCCGATTTGAGATAGATATATATATATATATTAGAAATATTATGTTAATGTTTTTATGTGCTTACTTAGCAGTTACTCATACGATACTGCCTATGGGCGAAGGATACTACATTGGCTTCAGTCGGAAGATACTTATATAGTATATTTGGCTTTGACAAGGAGATGTAGTGCCTTCGGGCGAAGGAAGGTATATGTGTGTGTGTGTGTGTGTGTGTGTGTGTGTGTGTGTGTGTATGCCTTGTGCTACTACTACTAAGCACATTATATACGATATATGTTTTATGAAAGGTTTTATGGCATGTTAAGGTTTTCGGAAAACCTATTACATATTATACTATTGAGTTTTCATAAACTTTGGGGGTTATTACGTTGATGAATAACTGTTTCAATATTACTTATATATCAACTTAGTCCACTCATGTTTTTATTTTGCGCCCCCTCAGGACTTAGAATAGAGACGTACAATCCTGATGTCAAGGCACTCCTGCATCGGCATCTTTGAGTCCTCTCGGTGTAGGACCCCATCTCTTTGTTCATTCAATTTTATATTATTCCTTTTTAGTGTCTCATATTAGTTGTATATTCTGAATACATTCCACAATTGCATATTTATTATAATTAAATATACAAGTTTCATTTATGTCAATTAATTGTTTCTAAGTTCTCATGCATCCTAATATGGCTTCGTCACCTTCGGGTGTCAGCCATCAAGTGCTTACCTTGGTGTTTAGACTATATCAGGGTCGGCGTGTCACAAAAAAGTAAAGTGTGAAAGAAGGGGAGGGAAGGGGTTGGGAATAGGAGGGGAGAATCCTACTCCTATTTAGATTCACTTTTAAGTCTAGCACACCTATTAGGACCAGGAGATATTTTAATCTAGGGTAATTTTTAGTTTACTACCCTGAAGTATCGTGGTTTTCAAATTTTCATCTACATAGGCACCATGCCATCAGTTAACTGAGCTTCTAACAGAATTATGAAAGTGTCACTCAATCCTCACTTTAGCATGGTAAACTGAGAATTACCCTTTAATCTATTTCTGGAAGACTTGTTACGTGATGTATTTTTTCATGTGTTAAAATGATAAGTAACAAGGTTCATACAACCCTATTTCAGGGTATTTTAATAAAAAAAAAACCAAATACATGTTTTATAATTTTAGTGGAATAGTATCACCATGTGATGATGTTCAATGAACACCAAAAATGATCTCCTATCTAGATAAGAATGTAAAATTGACGCAGCGTGACAAAGAGAAGATCAATCAACGTTAATGTTTAGAACAAGAGATCTAGAAACCATAAAGTATGAGAAATCTCCAAGTTTATTAAAAGATAATTGATAAGATTAGGGACGAAGTCAAAAATTTAACTAAGAGGGCACCTTAAAAAATTTTAGCTCATTTTTGTGTCAAATAAAGCTAATTTTTTTTACAAATGCTGAAAAAATTAGTTACAAAATGACTTTAGTCTATTGTCTCATTTCATCTTTAATTGTTGTCTGAGTGTATCCTGAACTGTATTTCAATTTATCATTCATACTTCATCCTTAAAAACCCAAAACTATTAAGACATTCATTGTTGTAGAGAAAATGGACAATACGGTTTTGCAAAGAAACACTAAAATGACTATTATTTAATCTAACGGGTCATATTGTTTCAGATTTTGGTGATTTGTGGTAGACATATCTTTGAGAGAGGACCTAAAAGATAGACGGTTCGGATCGTTAAAATACATTATGAAGTAGGCCTTACTAAATGAATATAAAAAAATGTTGCCCAATCTTGATCACTCATTAACAAAGTATCTTAAACGTCCTCAAAACTTTAAAATGCTATAAGAAACAAGCACGTTAATTTAGAAATTAAATAATGTGTCACTAATAAGAAATAAACATGTTAATCAACACTTAAGTAATAATCTAATCATCAATAATCATATCAGTTAGTATATAAGATTTGATAAATTTGTCTCTTTAGCATTACCCTTAAAACACTGTAACTATGGAACAGGTTCAGGTTTTTCGTGCACTCAACATATGAGGATCGAGGGCAACCCTTAAAATATATATATATGAAAGGAGTGCATGCCAGAGGTCAAAAAGGAGTACCAAACTCACTAGTGTAGAAACCAATCTCATTCGATCGCTTTATTTTGGGTGAGATCTCATTTGATCTCTAATAAGGAAGAGAGAGAAAAAGAAGCTGATAAGGTTTAGGTGGCTCTCCCTAGAACTGGTAGGGGATGTCTGTAATTGTCTATTATTTTGAACATGTATGAGTCGATCTCCATCACTGGGGCCAGCAGCCACAAACCCTAAGTCAGTGAGTCAGTGAGTCAGTGGGATCTTAACCCTAATGACAAACGAACTTGCCGACGTTGCCATATGCGACAATGGAACAAAGCCGAAAGTAAGACGTCTTTCCACCGTCCAAGCTCTCCAAACTTCCCAAGAGGTCCATCAATTGTAGTCACGGAGATTCCTTACATTATTTAGTGGCATATCAATAATATTCTTTTTTACCAACCATAATGTTAATAAGTTAAATTATTAAATATTAAAAGAGGAAGTTTGATGAGAGCAAAATCTGCACTAGAATGCATAAATGTTACTATTTTCGTACTGTTTCTTGCAGAACCTAAGTCTCAATTGAATTTTTATCACTCTGCTACCCACCAACAGCGCCACCACTGCTCTAAAGTGTCATATGCCAAATAATAATAATATTGAAAACAAAAATAAACATTTTCAAATAATTCACAAATGAACTTTTGTAAGAACAAAATAATATACGAGTGTATGTTTTATTTATTCATATGTTATGCCGATAAATGAGATGACACCAAATTATTAGTTTTCTTTCACAAGTGGTGGATATATATATTACAAGCAGGATATCCACATTTCTCCGATTAATATAGAAAATAAAGATTTAGGTCATAAAATGTTTTTATAATCAAGTTTTAGGACAAAGTCCCTTTTTTTTTCCAAACCAAAAGTCTATTCATTTATGATCTTTTGAACATATGTTAAATTGGTGATAAGGAGAGCGTAAAACCTATATGAGCCATCATATAAGTTATATGTGCACCACATTAGAAAAAAAAATCAATTTAATGAAATTAGATGTTTAAAGAGACAAAATAAATTAACACAATTTTAATCTTAAAATGTATTGTGTGAAAATTAGAGAAGTTTATTGCTGTTTTTGAGAACCATTAAAATGTTATTAGCCCTTATTATATTATCAAATTATTTTTTTTTTGTCAAATTATATCAAATTAAATTGGATAGGTCGAAATAATTTGACCTGACTTTTGCGGTGGGATAAAGAATTTCATAAATATTCTTTGTGGTCTTTCTATAAAAGCAATCATACTACAAGCCTCTTCTTGCTATTCACCAACCTCTTAACCTCATTATCCTCTTCTTCTTCCTTGTGTTTGATCAATATGCTGCAGAAGCCTTTCCTTAGACTGCTGCTGGTACTCTTATTGGTTTTCTCTCATGTTCTATTTTTGTCTGCGGTTCCTGCAACCAGTAAGGCTCAAGAGTTTCCCTTTTTCTTTCCTTTTAGTTTTTAAATATTTTTATTTGGTCAATTGGGGTAAGTCTTAAGCTGATGCAACATGATATAAACATTTGCAGTCTATCTATATGCACAAGTTTATTTGTGTAAAAATAGTGGTTTATTTCATTTTTCTTATATAAAAGAAATGGATTAATAATTGGTTAAATTATTCTTGTTTTGTAGGGAGCCTCAAATCAGAGGAGGAAGACTTATCGGTCCAAGAATCTCCGGTCAGCTCGCTCCTTCGCCTTCTCATTCATTGTTTTCTTCTTGTTCTTTCTTTAAAGTAGTGATTACCAATGATAATTATTTTAGAGCGCTGTTATTATCATTTTTTAGTGAAAAGTCATAAGGCAGTCCTTTTTAGTGAAAAAAGTTATCATGCACTTCCACACGGTAAAAAGAAAATTAAAAAAAAGCATTTAGTCAAAATAGTTTTTGAGATTTGCATAACTTCTCACTTTAGTTATTGAGATTAAAATCGATCCAAGTGATTCATGAATTTGTCCACCATCAATTATTTTGAACCTTCTGTGGAAAAATTCTGTTAAATAAGGACAAAATGATAAAAATATCCTCAACTAATAAACAAAGGGCCAAACTAATTTGACAAAAATTAAGAGTATTTTTGTCATTTTCTCCTTATTTCCCGGAGATTTTTCCCCGAATGACCAAAATAATTGATGATGGACAAACTTAGGAATCAATTCTATCGATTTTAAATCAAAAGGACCAAAGTAAGGAGTTATGCGGATCTCAGTGACCATTTTGGTTAAAAAGCTTTAAAAAAAAAATAAAGTATGAAACAATGCATAATGACTTTTTCAAAATATTAATAATAATTATCTCATTTACCTGATTTATTCAGCAATCTAAATATGCAGAGATTCGTACATAAAAACATATATGTGTTAATGAATTGTAATTTGTCGCCTAATTTTACCTTTATTTATCTTTCTGGCAGGGTCTAGTGGATTTGGTGAATGGAGAGGAGGTGTTTGATGTGGGTGGGGGAGAGGCGTTTATTGAAGGAAGGGTGACTATAGAAAGTGAAGACTATCCGGGAACAGGAGCAAACAGCCATCATGACCCAAGAACCCCTGGAAAAGCTTAAAGATCACTCCCAAGTCCCAAGTTTTGGTTTGAGGATGTTCTATATATCTGTAAGCTGTAAAGTCACGATCTAAGCGAACTTTTTTTATGCGTTTAATATTCGTATGAAACTACATGAAACTTTAGAAGCAATAATTTTTTATTTATTTATTAAATGGTGTGAGAGAATCGAACTTGATACATTTTATTATAAAAATGATAAACGATTTAAATATAATAATTGATTTTTATATTATAGAAAAATGCCCATTAATAAATGTAAACTTTGTACTCGGAATGTGAAATGCCAGGTAATAGAAATGAGGATGTGGGAGGGTGACTTTCTTTGATAGTTTGAATACATATATATTACTCACCTTTAAGATGTGTTAACAATCAACTTTAAATAGGTTTCTGAAACTATAAATCAGAATTTGCGTTTCTGATATGCTCTTTCAATCCTACGACACCTAATTTTTTTTGTCGAAGACGGATTCTGGTAGTAGCATGTAGGAATATGATCCTTTGTTCCTGAGATCGGTAGGTGTGATTAACTTGCCGATGATTTCACTGTTACGAGAACTGGAGTTAGTTGAATGACGTTTTCCCATCCAAGTTCAATAGGGTTCAATATATATTTTCAGTAGAGAACGTGAAGTCCTTGTTGGAGTCAAATGCCGAGATAGAATGTCATAAGGAGGGAAGTCGAGCTACAACTACTTGAACCCATGTATGTGAATAATATAAACAGAGAACTCAGTACAACGAGCACAGGATCACATGCTTCGAGGGTTTCTCATGTACCTGCCCTTTTGTGGCTTTACTAACCTTTGCTAACCATTGTCGTCGACATCTTCGAAAAATTTGAGGAAGTTGTAGTTGGCACCCAGTGAGATGCTGGAAAATTTGACAGGGTCGTAGCCGTAATTGAACTTGAATGGGTGCTGCTAAAATGGACGTAGTTGTGCCAAAGTTT